GTTGATTGCGAGAATTACTTTATTTGTTTTTTACAAACATGCAAACCGAAAACTACAATTTTCCAAAATAATTTTTCCAAAATATTTCTCGATATATTGAAAATTCATTGAGTGCCTAGATTCGATCATCTACCGTAGATTTAAAGTGCCTCCATGAGGAGTGTATGCTATTCCAAACCACTTCAATTGCGCTTCTTTTTGCCCTTTTTCTTTTCAACCTTTTTTTTATTGCGACGATAACGTCGGTATGCCCGCTGAACAATTTTCGCGGCACGAGTCATCATAAACAGCATGACTCTCTCCTCGTGCCTCCTCCTATCTTCCTCTTCTTTTGTTTTAACGATAGCTTCATATTCAGCCTCCTCGCGTTGGTATTCAATGAGAAATTCGTCAAACTGTCGTTTTTGCTCGTCAAATTCCTCTTGCAAATAAACCTTCTCTTTAATTTTTTCGCCAATATTTTGATCGAATTTCTTCACCAATGCTTGCAATTGCAGTAAAAGTTTATTTCTGAAAGTATGGTTAGACGTGGTAGTGCAAATCGTTTTTCTACAGATTTTGACGTCAAATTACGAAAATTGAAAATCCACTTTTCCGTATAAACGTCGGAAATGCAGGTTTTGCCATTTTCAGAAACAAACAACGGAAATAAAACTTCCAAGGCGTAATTGCAACAGCAAATGGATTTCGAAAATTAATTTCAACCCGCTCGTTAGCGTGGGCCGAAAATCAGCTTTTCTAGAATTTTGATTAGTATCTTAGGCTCGCCCAAGTCCATCAAAGATCAAGTGCCAAAACAAATTTTTCTTAGCGTATTTCGATTATCTACAAAAAAAGTCCATATACTAAATTATGTAGGACTAATACTTTCGAAAATACTTGCAATTTTAGTAAAAAAAAATTATTAATTGATTTTTATTTTTTGACCACACTGAACTTTGATGGACTTCGGCGAGCCTAAGATATTGACCAAAAATGGTCATCATTTACATAGATTATTTTTAGAGCATAATGAACAATTTTTTGCTATTACCAATCAAAATTCTAAAAAAAAGCTTGTAAAAATCGCATTTTCCGCCCACGCTACTGCTCGTGCTGCATTTTAATTTTTAATTTGTGCTGAGTGTTTTCGAAAGTCACCCTATATATCTGTGTTCGCATGGAACAGTAGCTTATGTCGAAAGCTGGCCTTAGTATAATGCGACATTCGCAGCATACGATAGCGGATGACTCACTGGCGCCGAGCCGTTGAAGAACTTTTGTCAAATAAACATGCAGAAATATTTCCGATACTAGGAAGTCTATATTCTTATTAAGTCTCATCAAAAAAATCCTTGTCGTTTAAAGAATAAGGGAATGCCGCATTATACAAAAGCCATCTTCCCGACATAAGCGACTATTCCATACGAACTCAGATATACGGTTACCATTCGTATCAATTTCGGCGGAACAGTACCGATTTTGAGAAGGGTATCCCGCTGAATATATTTATGTCGGACGTATAACACTAATGCTAAGAGGATTACTATTACTGCAAATGTATGTACATATGCCTTCGATTGAAAAAGGCTGAATAATTTTCATGTGATTTATGTTCCTAAACAATATTTATGTGCGTTTTTTATGTTTGTAAAAGTATTTTGTGAATTCAAATTACCAAAGTTTTTGCTTTGTATGTAATCAGGCCCTATACTGTGATCAGGCCCTTCACAGATTCCGAGTGAACTCCCGTGATGGAAAAATCTCCCGTCACGAATTCGGGGGAAATGCTATCAGCAATTCCGATGCATTCATAGTTAGTGTTCCTTTGGCTTTTGTTTGTTTTTATGTTTTGGTTTATTAATTAAGTTTGTGTAATTTTTATAATTTAAGTAAAAAGCCCGAAATTTAGTTTTATATGCTATTTGTTAGATAAAAAAAGAAAAGTATATCTTTTTATACAAAAAAATGAACGTTAAAAAAATCAAAAGAAAAAAGTAGTCAAAACTGGTAAAAATGTAGATTTGCTATCCTATTTCGCGGGGTATATGATAACTCGTCAATGAACTAAATGACCTGAATCAACTAAAGAACTAGTTCACTAAGGTGAGCGAAGTACAACTAAACGGTTAACTCAAAATAACTAAAGTGCCCAACTCTAGTTTTTAGTCTTACTTTTCATCGCGAACATCCTTCTCATGAGCGAGATTCTGTTTTAAAATTTTTCCATATGTAGTTTTTGTTTTCTCTAGTTCCTCTTCCAACTCTTTTTGTTTAATTACACTGGCGGCGTGGATGTTGTGAATGCGCCTGCTAGATTTCACACTGAAATATTTAAAAAACTTGTAATCTTAGAAAACATAAATTATTTCAAATTAAAATAATTAAGGTTGCATAAAAAATTTACCAAATGCAGATAGTTAAATAACTTACAGTTCTTCTCTTATGCGTACATTATTGTCCCATTTTTTAAACGCCAAATCTGCCTCATACTTTTTGATAATACCATCTTTAGCTGCCAACTTCCATCTCAAGTTCATTTTTTGGTTATGTAATTTGGCTTGCAATTCTATGAAAAGCCAAAGATCATACATACGCACATATGTGCATACAGATATATAACTGCCCTTACTATTGTAATCGCAATTATTCCGTACCCTTCCGTTGAAATATTGGGAACTCACCTAAGATATTCTTCTTCATCTGCTCGTTATCATGATAGATTTGATGAATTTTCTTCTCCTTCGCCAATTCAGCCATTGCCGACTTGCTCAAACGTTCCGCAACAATATTTTGCAGCAGTGTAAAAGCGTTCAAAAGAGATTTATCTTCTTCGCTCAATTCATCTAACCAGTTAGGTAGTGTATTGAGCATTTCACGGTTTTCATGAAACATGTCAATTAACTGAAGCAGCTGCAAATTCTCCTCAGGTTTATGTTTCTTTATATCGGAGGATTTATATCGGATTAAGACACAAAGTGTACGGATGCAAAACAATTACCTTCATTGTTAGGTATGATTGTATCACATGCCAGCATTCTTCATTCTTTAAATGTCTTCTCACGGTGAAAGGGTTCTCCAAAATCCTCGGAATTACTAAGGAAATCTGTAGTTTTTCAATGGATTCGTTTACGATTCGCATAATACTCTCAGCTTGAGCAGCACGTTCGGCTGACAACTCTGCTAACAAAAAAGATCAAATTTGTTCATAAGGAAATCTCTTAGGTCCAGCTCCACTTTGATTGCGGACATACATATGTATGCATATTCTTATGTTAGTATAGATGCGCCTTAGCCTTACCATTTTCATAATTTGTTTTATTCATGAGCTCGTCAAAAGTATGCAAATTGAAGACATGAAAATAATTAAAAATGAAAGCATAATAAATGGTTGCTAAGGTATTTTTTATACGTGCATACGTACCATCATGATAAAAACATTACAAGGTAAATTCATTCTCTCAATTCGTCGGCCATGATTTTTTCCTGACGTTTGCCAACATTTTAAAATCATATAAAATTGAAAATAAAAAAATTAAATTGTTCACAGTTGTTGTTGTTTGGGATTGAAAATGAGAATGTGTGTGTGTTTGAGTTTTGATTTTAAAATTATATTGTTGGCAAACGTCAGACTGCCTCTCAATGGTTTTACCTTGTTATGTTTTTATCATGCGTACCATGGTACAAATATACATACATGCAAAAAGATTCTTTTCCAACCCACTAGAACTTGAAGGGAGATCTCCCTATATGAGAAATAAAAGAGTTCTCCCCTTGACCTGATTTCGGAGCAACAAGATAGATTTGTCGGTTTTGTACTCCTTTATTACTCGCTTAGAAGTCAAATAGAAGATCTCCTAAGCGAGCAAGTAAATAATGCTCTCTGAGGCATGATTTAGGAGCATTAAATGAGATTTTTCGGTTTTTTTACTCCTATATTGCTCGCTTAGGAGAGTAATGGGATATATTCTAAGCGAGCAGTTAAGTTCTGAATGAACTCCCTGATTGCTCATTTAGGAGGTAAAAGGTATTACTCGCCACCCTAGGACATCCCGTTTTAAAGGGAGTATACAAAATTACATGCTTATACACAGGAGCATAGGGAGCAATGGGGAGTAGTCCTATACTCCAAGGGAGTACTCACCGAGCAATCATACGATGATCCCTTAAAGTGAAAGTACCCAATAAACACAAAAACGAGGGTGGCATCGTATCGAGAGGAACTCGAGAAAATAAATGTCTCGAACATATTTTTTGGGCTCGTTTCGAATTCGAGGCGAGTCGAGTAAATCAGTTTTCTCGAAAGATTTTCTTTTTGCGTTCTTAAACGCTATTGTTTATTTACCTTTATGGAATCCTTTTATTAATAAATATACAGGAAGTGAAAAATATATTTTTCAAAAAAGAAATTCGGAAAATAAAAATTATAGAATCTGCAAAAAAAATTCTCGAATCGCAAACGATTTGAAAAAGTTGTAATACTCGATTCGCTAACAATACGTGACTCTCCTACGAATTCGCCGATCTATCGCCGCGAAGTATCGTCTCGATAGTTCTATCAGAGAAAACGAGCTCGTCTCGGATTCGAGGCGAATTCGTTGGGTTTATTGGGTACATACCATCCATTGCGTCGCCGTCACCGTCACCATCACCGTCAACAATGCTTATGCGTCAAGTTACACACAATCCGTTTGACATTGCGTCCAAAAAATCATAAACTCGCTGCTAATCTTTGCAAAATTTACGTTCAAACATGTAAACAAAACACTGAATAGTTGTCACTTGATGCAAATTCTTATGCAAAGCTGTAAGTTGAGCTAATTTGTGCGTCACCGACTCCAATATAAACCGATTCAACTTTTTTGACAACTGCCGGTGATGGTGACGGCGAAGCAATGCGCGTTATGTACTTTCACTTTTACTGAAGGAACTCCTAAGAAAAACTTTAAAGCCGCTTTTCTCACCATCTTAAATTATTCAGTCATTTATAGTCTTTCTTTACGACGATATTTTTACACAAACATATTTATTATTATTATTCCTCAAATACATAAATATACATACAGAATATATACTAAACTCGAACTTAATTAATGATTTATTCAAATTAAAAATGTTTGTATTTATAATACTCATAAAATTGTTTATTAATTCCATTTAAATCCATTGCCTGTTTTTAAAATAACAGCAACTTTTTTATCCAAATCGTCTAAGAAAAAATACAAGTTTCAATGAAATTCCAAATATGTACATATGTAATAAGGAAATTTTTTTGCGATTTATTTTGTGTGCTATGCAAATGGAATCGGCTAGGGGCTTACCAAGCCGTTATTTTAATTATAAATCTAAATGAATTCCCCACAACTTCTTAACCTCAGTTTTTAGTATATTCAGTTCAGTTTTTATATGATTAACAGGTGCTAACTTGGCATACATACATACATACATATATCTTTTAGGGGTCATTTGAGCTTTGAAGAATTGCATTTCAATCTTGCAGTAACACAGCAGTGAACAGTAACTTAAATCTTGCAATATTCACCTTCACATTTATATACATATGATAGTTTATACTTGTATGGTTTTATAACTAATTCAGCCATTGCACGTTCAAACCTGTATTTTGTTAAGAAAGATTTCAAGAATAGATAATTTATAATTAAGGCAGTAAATAATGATCAGGCAAACAAATAAAATAAAAAGGACTTGAATTTAAAAAAATACCACTGTCGTTGATTCCAAACAATAAATAATAAATTCTAAAATCGCAAATCAAGTTACTTCTTCCTGCTAAGAAAACCATAGAAAACATTTTAAATAAATTTTGTTTTTTTTTTGCAAATTGATTTGCTAATGTATTTTTAAAACTGGAAATAAAATAACAGCCAATTAACGCGATTTACGACATACATAGTTAAGAGTTAACTCACAATCGGCACCTAACTTACCATTTTTATCTTGAAAATCTACAGTTAACTGCCGAATCCCCTTAACTATCCACAATGAAAACGGCTTAACTTTACTAAATATAAATAAATTTAAAAACTTAAATATATTGTAACGCTATACTTACAATTTGCAAATCCACAATTACATGCCGAAGACGTAACCCGAAATTTAGGGCTTTAAAACCAATTTAACGCCCCTTTAAAAGCACTGATTCTCTATTGATCGACTTCTCCTGTTTCAGTTGCAGATGCCGACGACGCTGCTGTTGTGCTGGATGTCGGTGTTGTTTGTGGTTGCTGCAATGCCCCAGTAACATCCCCCCATTCAATCAGATATTGCATCTGTCCACTTGCCAATTGTCTTTTAGCGCGGATGCAAAACTGCTCGCCAGATTCGATACGGTTCATTACTCCACCGAAATATTCTTTAACTGATTGTTTCAGATCTTGCATACTAGTCGCATTTGCACTGCCCGTATTTGTATTACCGCTGGTACGTATTGCTTGCTGTTGTTGCTGCAATGCAGCTAATGTAATGTTGCTGGAGGAGTTAGTCGAAGAAGCCGTGCTTGCGCTTGAGATTGAACTGCGGCGACTGTTGACAGGAGAATTCTTTTGTGGGCGCTGCCTTAAACGGCGTCCGTGCGACGGTTTACATGGTGGTAAAACTTCGACTTGCGATTCCACACTTGAAGTCACTGAACCAGGTGGTGATGAAGACGCCGAGGCCGACGCGGACGAGGATGTTGAAGAAACGAATACGGATGCGGCTGCTTTTTGTTGTTTGCTTTGTAATGACATATTCTTAGAGCCGCTCGTAATGAGATGTGTATGTGTAGAAAGCAAATCTTTGGCATGTATTGGGAAGAAATTGCTGGGAATGGGATTGATTGTGGTTGTACTAATAACCTGTAAATATAAGAGTGTGCTGATGTGTCATATGGTATGTATATGGTATACTCTTTATTTACCTCTACATTGGAGGATAGGCGACGAGTTCTTCTTCTACGCACCTCTTGGTTTGGGCCGATTGTTATATCTTTGGCACTCAGTCTTCTCTTGATCGTGCGCACTGTCCGGGGCTGGCCGGCAGCCTTGGCTAAATTACTTGTACTAAGGTTTGGGAACATGCCAGCGCTTTTAAGCGCTGCCAACTTGGAGCTGAAATCCAAGGCTGTTGTATTAAAAATACTGCTTTTAATCATTGTGCCATTGCAATTGAAGCTTAGTAAGCTTTTGACACCACCGCCTGCATGTGATGCGGACGAGTTCTTCTTAGGTGTAACCATTCGAAAGGGATTATTAAGACCAAGAAAGTTTTTCGGCGGCGGTATGATGACATCCAGGGAAGTACCGCGGCTACTTGACGAGTTTTCATCAGAAGAGGAGTCACAGATGCGACTGCTATCGTAGCGCTTTGATGCTGCTTCAGCGGCAACCTCCTTGTAGGAATTTGATAATGTGAATGCCTTGCGCTTACGACTGCTGCGCTCTGTTGTTACTGATGACTCTTTTATGAAAACAGATGAAGTACTTTTGTGGTCAACTGTTTGAGGTACAAGAACACTATCATGGATTATCCCACCAGTATCAATTCTTTCTTTGCCTTGGTTAAGACTAGTAGCACATTTAGATGGTTTAGATGACATGCCATTTTGCAGGCCTTTTTCTTTAACTTTATCCATTAGGGAGGACACTGGCATTTTGCTGACACTGTTTGCATCATTTGCGTTCTCGTCATCCAGAGACACAATTTCTTCACATAACATATCATCGAAATTGTTGCGCTTCTTGATTGACTTCGGCCGGATACTAATGGCATTGGAGTTTTGAGTTGGGTCCCTACTTTTTCGTGCTTTTTCCATAATATGTTTTATGGGAATTTCATCATCTGAAGTAAATGTCTCGCTATCCTCAATGTGAAATTCATAAACATCTGCTGGAGTTTTCAGTTTTTGAGAAGCCAATGTCTTGGAAATATCACCAGTGTTCTTATAACTCCTGCAATTAATATTTAATGAGTTTGAATGAATATCTACATACATACGTTAGAAATTTAAAGTACTGGCGAAACCGAATATTATGTGTATGTACACCTACCTGTTGTGCTGCAATAATGGCTTGCTAGCAGCCTTGTGGGCTTCGTGTATTGGGTTCTTCATGGGCTTGCTGCATCTAAATTGTATGGCAATGCATTACTGGAATCATCACTATTATTGATATAAACTCACCGTAAACACCACCATACACCACTGCCCGGTTTTGTTTCTCTAGTGCAGCCCCGGTGATAACCACGCCTACAATCTTCACAAGTTTCCACCACGTCTTGTACTTGAGGGCGCTTACAAGCTACACACATTTGCGCGTTACCGCTTCCACCACTACCGCCAAACCGCCTCATGTCCTCAATGCCGCACCATAACTCTGAGTTATCATCAAAGCGGATCAAATACTGAATATATTGTGGCTTGTTCAGTCCACCACCAGCGCTACTTCCGATCACTGTGCCAAGATACTGGCGACTATCTTCTTTGCGAATAAACACATCCTCACCCATGGCGAAACTGATCTCTTTAGAGCTTATACTTTTCAGCTCATCGTCTGAGGTTGCTGATGAACTTGTGGGCGTTGGTGGAGTGAGGATTGTGACTGATAAGGAAGTTTCATTTGATATTATTTCAACGGGTTTTCCTGGTGTGGGCGATGGGGGAGAATCCAACTGTGATTCTTGCATAACGGTTTCTCCTTTGGATTCATCCAACTTAGCAATACCAAGCTCTTGGTGTATTGGACGTAGATCCGTGATGTCTCCAGATTTGGTATTGTTCATCATGCTTACAGTATCCTGTGTTGATAAGTCATCCACCTCATTATCTTCTATTTCCATAACACTTTCGTTCAGAGTGTTTCCAGCAGTCCCACCTCTTCCAGAATCTGCATCCTTTTCCAAGCCGCTTTTTATATAGTCGCTTTCATCGTCAATTAATATTGTAGTAATAGATTGACCGGATGTACAAGTTGACATTTTGTGTTGTGCTTTATTTATTGACGCCTTAAATGAGGACACACAAACTGTTGTTTGAGCTGCAGAATAGTTCTCTTTTCCAGCAACGACTGTTTCTCCAATTATATTTTGAGCTAATATTGATTGTGGTACTATTGCTGATCTTGTAGATGCCAAATTCGTTGGCGGTGACGGCGGTGAATTATTTTCTGGCGTAGTCGGTGGAGTATGGGGTGTTGTGGTAGTTGAGTCGGGTTCGTCTATTACCAAAGTAGAATCTTGGCTGGTATAAGAATCGGTATTTAGAACTCCCCCGGCGCCACCGCTACTAGCTGAATCCAGCAACACTTTGTGATGTATAGCTGGTATAATGGGCGATGGCTGTTGTGGAGCATGCGTAGCCATCGAAAATGTGTGAGCAACTGGTGTTGTTGCAGCAGTTGTGGTGGTGCCAATACAATCTAATGTGTTTGATAACCCGTTATTCAGGGGTAGGGAGTCGGAGTAGTGATTATTTATACAAATGTTAATACGATCCAATACAAGAGTTGAATTCGTGCTTGTGGTGGTTCCTGGCGAAGTAATCATTGCTGGTGAGGTGGTTACTGCATCAATACCAGGTTTATCTTCAGAAGTAAGTGTCGTCATGAGTTTAGGTGTAGCTGTAAGAACGGCTGCAGTTGGTGAGACACCACCACCATTATTTGTTAATGGCACAAAAAACGGGTGCTGTTGTTGCAAATCATCTTGTTGTAACTGTAAAGAAGCTGGAGCAGTACCTGTCGCGGCGTAATGCTGTTGGGTGAAATGGGACGGTAATAATGTTGACAAATGCGGAGCATAAGCTGACGGTTGCTGATGTGGCGTATGGTAAAACTGTGGCAGTTGTATTATGTCCTCATGCACAGATGCTTCGACTTCTTTACCAATGTTATACATTGGCTGGTTTTGTTGCTTCTGGGGCTGGTGTAACGTACTGGGGAGTGTTGTAATAATGCGAATGTTGGCAGCATTGGCATTGTTATAACTACCAGGAGCTGCGGCACCTGCTGTTGTGACACCACTAACAATGTCTCCGATTGTCCGAGGAAGCATCTGTGACGAAACATCGGGTAACTGTGAATTTGTACTTCCATACTGATGGGCAGAAAAGTTATTTGTTATTAATATTGTATTGCTTTGTTGTTGATGTGGCTGTTGTGATGTTATTTGATGAACTGAGTTTGCTGCTGAAGTTGTCACATTTGGTGGCACTCCACTAAAGAAGCTTGTGTCAGATGTTTGCATTCCATTAAAGAACGATTTTTCCATAGTATTGGTCAATTGCATTTGACCCTGATCGAAAAGGCCAGTAGCATGAGAAGCAGCAGCGGCCGTCGAATTGGCAGCAACTTGTCGGTCATTACTCCCACCAGTACTGACCGCGGGATGTTGCAATTGTGCATGCTGATGAGCAGCTATTGGTAGTGTCGAAGCATGTGGATGAAAAAAGCCACTAATAGCTGGTGGCATATTTGTATGATGTGGCGTATGTCCAGGATGTGCCTGATGTGGAATAGCGGTTTGATTCTGATGTACCACATTTGTATCGTATGCAGAATTATTCATCATTTTAAATTCTTCCATTTTGATTAGTCAATTCTTCTTTTGCGTTACGGTTCTTCGGTTTTTCTGCAAAGATCAGATATTCTGAAATATGAACATATGTATATGTACAGGCATATGTAATGTGTAGATTCATAGTTCTCTTTAAGTTTATAGTAAATTACACCCAATATGCTGATTACAAAAAAAAGCAAAATAAAAAAACTTCCGGAAATGCATAAAAAAATGCCTTCAACATTTTTTAGGATTGTTTGCCGGCAAGTGCCTGATCCTAGCGAAGGCAATACGTTTATAACTTTTTTCTTTCTTCCATTGTTGGAAAGCCAATACAACTTTTCGCACAATACAATTCCATATACACATTTAATGCGAGAGCTGGTAATTTTCTAAAAACTCTTGTTTTACCCGCCAGATTGAAAAAAATGTTCACTTATTTATACTATTTCGCATTTAGTATTTTTTCTTTTTTTTTGTAAACTTGATTTTCTTATTTTTTGCAACATTGATCTTTTTCCAGCAAGTTCAGCAAAGCCCATCTGTAATATCACTGCAACTCACTATTCACTATAAATTTAAGTTAGCGAAGAATTGTTCATTTGATACCGCGGCATATTTTATCAATTCTAATTAATAATTTTCATAAAATTCTCCACTCGGAATCGAAATTTACACCGTCAGCCATTTTCCCCAAATTTTCAAATGATTTTTACACTTTTGCTATTGATTGAACACTGGGAATTTTTGCACTAGGAATGGGTAATACAGCGCTGCGCGGCGCATATGCGTTAACACCGAGGCCGGAGGTGCCGCGCCAACACCAAGAAACACATATCACAATTCGTCTTAATTCATTCTTTGAAAAATTACAAGTACGTTGTTTTTGCTTTTAAAGGCCTGTATGCAGCTCTCAAGAAAAGCAAAAACTCCATATAAAATGACGTACAAGAACTGACTAAGAAATTTTCTTGAGTCAAATTTCCTTAAGGCAGTACGCAGTTCTTAAGAAATTTACTACGCTTTCTACTACGGTTTTCTAAAGTTTTTTGTGAAAAAAGAGCACAAGGCAACCCAGGTTTGCAACAGAAATATATGCCCGTTCCATTATTTCTTGAGGAAAGAGTGAGGCAACAGGCTGTGAGGTATCAAAAATGTCAAAATTCCTTGGACACACACGCGAAATAATGACAATTTTTTCTTGACCGTTTTCTTGAGAGCTGCATACAGGGCTTAAGTGGTGAGAATGCCAGAAACTTATGTATTTTGGCAAATTTAAAGTACACCATACAATAACTTTGATAATTGAGCTGGCGCCATAAAAATTACGCTATTACCCATGTCTATTTTGCACCTTTTCCTGAATTAAACTTCTGGCTGCGAAACCCTACAAATATATGTACAAATATTTTGCAATCGCTTTTAGTCGATAGCGAATGCAACCCTTCACACTGCGGCGAATTCATCACTGGAATGCACTACCGGAAGTATAGGGTGATAAACACGTCTCACCCTGTTGCATCTGTCCCAAACCGACATTTGTCCCAATTCCCACATTCCATGTAACTGTAATTCCATTTCCACTTAATTAAACGGGAAAACGAAAAAGCATTAAATTAAATTGCGCCATTTTTGCACTATTAAAAACGTTAAAAAATCACACCAACACAAATTAATAAAAGTCCTTGAACGTGCAGTCGAGGTTTGTAAACAAAATTGTGATTATATATTATAATATATAGCTTAATTTATAGCTATACATTTTTGCAAACAAGGCTTATAAAAATGGGCCGTGAGCGAATATGCCGTGTACAAAATTGCATTAACGAAACTAGCGATAGGCGTTTTTTTTTTCGTTCTCCAAGGACGCAAGTGTGGTGGCCAAATGGAGGCAGAATCTCCGCATAAAGTATAATCCACCGCACAACTCCTTTGTGTGTGCGGATCATTTTGAGTTGTCCGACGTTGGTCGGATGTTTCTAAGACCAGGTGCTATCCCAACACTTAACATAACTATAATAATAACATAATGTCATAACCATGACTTAAAACACTGTAATATTAAAAAAATTTATATAACATGGACCATTTCCTGGTACCACCGCCATTTGCAGATTAAAATAAATACTAAAAAACCATATGCATAAACGGAACCATTTTTGAATTCATGAAATGAAGAATTCGTGAATTCTGCCGCATAGCGCATAAACGTAGTAATACATATGCACATAATTACACGCGAGTTTCCATATAATGCATGATCAAGCTTTCTCAATTGGAAATTTACCATTACAGCTGCTCCTGCATATTGCATATTTAGTTAAATGTGTTTTACATGGAAGATATTTGTTTATTCATGTAAAAATTAACCAGTAACAAATGCTTTTTATACTGACACATAAAGCGCTTTGATTTCACATTTCACAGTGAACTGAGTCAAAGCGCTTTATGTGTCGGTATAAACAAGGTAACAATTGAGGTAATTCGCTCTCAAAATTTATATACATATTTTATGATTAGGGTATGATGGCATTCCGCCGTATGCCTGCACTACGTCGATGAAAACGCGGATTTGCTGTGTGACGGGATGCGTGTCTGACGGCCAATCTGTTTTGCACGCGTTCCCTAGAAGCCGAAATTACCAAAATAGTTGGGCCGAGGCGTGCAACGTGATACCATCAAACACTGCCAATTTATTTGTCTGTCAACGCCATTTTGAGCCTCACTTTGTAATGAATTCTAAGCTTTTAAAAGGGGCTGTTCCCTCACTTACTTTAGAGCCAGTAACAACATCTAGGAGTCGCTCACCTAGTATTGTTTCTGTAGGTTCAAGAGCAAATGAATGTTTAGGAGAATTTATCGAAATTAAACAACCAAACATCTGCGGCGTAGACTTTGACTCCACAACCAGCGACGAACGATTTGCTCAGGCTTCTGGAAAAAATCAGAGCAAATCAGATTTAGAAGAAGAAATACAGAAACTTCGAAAATTCCACGCTCGGGCAATTGTACCTGATGCTTCTGCTAGTAGCGACCCTATTAATTTTGCGAAAATGATCGTGAATAGTAACCAAGGTTCTTACAGTGAGGACGAAAAGGCCTTGGCCCTTAGTATGGATTATATATCTACAAAAACGTATTCTTTTATGCGTGACGATTTGGGTTTTGCTTTACCAGATCGAACATCTCTTTTGCAATAGCGCCCCGTTCATCATGTCGATCCGGGGTTAGATGCAAATGTCCTTGAAAACTTGCACAAACTTGTTCGAAGAAAGTCCGTAACCGAACGCCTCTGCGTTTTAATTTTCGACGCAATATGCATGAAACCAGATCTCACGTACAACCAAACTGTTGACACAATTGATGGGTTTGTAGATCATGGGAAAGACAAACGCAAGAATGTAATCTAGTGCTTATTTCTTCATGGTTAAAGGTATACTTTCGGAATGGAAATATGTATTATCGTACTATATTTCGAAGAACGGTTTACACGAAGACATGCAAAATATTTTACTTCGAAATATCTACGCACTAAAGAAAATCGGGTTGAATGTGAAAGCGGTCGTTTGTGACCGAGCGTCCAGCCATATTGGTTTATTCAATCGTTTCAATATTTGTGAAGGTCGACCATATTTTATTCATGATCACACAAAAATATTTTGCATGTATGACTATTGTCATTTAATAAAAACAATTCGACATATTATAATAAAAGATGACATTAAAACATCCGACGGCATTGCGAGCATTGCAGTAATCAGGAAATTGTTCGAGATAGATCAATTAAACAGTAATTTTAAAATTTGTCCGAAATTAACTGTGACTCATTTATTCACAGCACTTTATCAAAACAGCGTTTCACTTGCAACTCAATTACTGAGCAATTCGGGAGCTGCTGGGATCGAAATGGCCTACAGCCAAAATTTACTAGGCATCGATGACAACGTACAAGAATGCGCCAAACCCAGCAGATGTTTGTCAAAAAGATGAACGACCTTTTTGATGAGCTAAACTGCGAAAATTTAAATTCGATAAATCCAATGATGTGTGCAATAAAACGGGGTGACACAGGGAAAATCTCAAGGCTAGATACACATCTGGAATTTTCGCGGTCAATGACGCTCAATGCCACCCGAATGAAATGCAGTGAACGCTTAGGTATAACAATAAAGTCCATGCTAATGCTTTTGAAAGAGCTCTTTGCCCAGCACCAAAGTGTACAGCAAATTTTTCTAAGTAAATTTTGTCAAGACGACTTAGAAAACTTTTTTATTAGAGAAAGAGCTAGCCGAGGTACAAGTACCAATGTTACACCTCACGAAATCCGATATATAGCTGCTACATCAATTTCAATTAATATTTTGCGTGAAAAATTTGTTAATAAAGGGGTAGATTGCGATGAAGACGATAAATTTAGAAAATAATTTAAACCCCACAGATCGGTATGTCGAAGAACGGGAAACGTCAAATGAGCGACTCGTCATTGAAGAAGTAGAAATTCCAGACGAGAATAATGGTGACGTTCAGGTGCAGCGGTATTTGACTGGTTATGCAATTGACCAGCTTAAATGCGAAAAGTGCACCAGAATCTTGATGAAGGCACATGACGATTTATTACTAGACTCCGAAGCACTGATAAAAGCCGCAAAAATCTTTAGGGACGACTGCAGTTTGAAAGTTGTCAATCCTCAAGACTCCGTTTTCGAGGTGTGCCGATATCAGATGGTGTGGTACCGTCAACTATTCTCAAAATACGCTCATTTAACAGATCTCAGATCTCGGATGTTGTCAGCTATCATAGAAAAAACCGATCAAGTTTTTCCACTGTGGTGCTTAGAAGCTGGCGACTATTTAGACCATCGCTTAAAACTTGTAGAAATTTGTATAACCAATCTTTTATTTAAAAACGCAAATTGGGCGTTGAGGGAGGAATTTGAAAATCAGAGGCGGGATAACATTTTGTTCGATCTTCATTATCACGATCCCTCAGAGTAAGAGGCAAAGTTACTAAAGGTACATTACCTCTATATCTTTTTTAAAATGTTTATACATTTTATATTTTTTTTTTTCAATTTAATATCGGATTTTTCCAAATGTTTTCGTCTGTTTTAGTTCGCTGCTTTTGTAAGCAACCTGCTAGCTGCATGTCGTAAGGTTTCTATGCTTGCATCATCTACTTCGTGAGAAGTGTAAACTACTTCGCGAGAAGTTTCAACTACTTCGTGGCCGGTGCGCCAACTACTTCGTGAGAAGTGTCAACTGCTTCGTGGGAAGTTTCAACTACTTCGTGGCCTGTGCGCCAACTACTTCGTGAGAAGTGTCAACTACTTCGTGGGAAGTTTCAACTACTTCGTGGCCTGTAGTTCTGAACACATTGAAAACGACGAGCTACCGACCACAGCTTCCAATTTGTCATCTTTATTATCTAAGCGCTTTGTCGATGGCGACATGATTTCTTTGAACGCGGCAGCGACATCATGATTTTTTATGAGTTTGACATAAAAGAAGAGGAAGAACTTATCTGTCGCCAGAAAAATAGAAATAGATCTAATCTGGCCACAACCACAGCCGTCGCGTAGCCCGGTCGTCGCCAAAATAATTATCTACATAAGAGTACGTGTTAAAATAATTTGACAGCTGTGGTTTGTAGCTCGTCGTTTTCATTGTGTTCGGGCTATGTGCGCCAACTACTTCGTGAGAAGTGTCAACTACTTCGCGAAAAGTGCCAACTATTTCGTGAGAAG